CTATGATACTATTATTTATCAACATATACCCCATATCTTACCAAACATTAAAAAAAACAATACATTTCCTCAATTCATTCTTTTATGGCTGTAGTAATTTTAACGTTCTGAAGAGACTCATAAACTCATAAACTCATAAATTATATACGGATTCTGCTCTCGATTTTTTGGCGTAGTTTTAGAGCCGGTCTTTCGGTTCCTCGGTTTATGTTCACTGATCAGCGGGTTTAGGATCAGCGTTGTGTGTCGGTCTGTGTTGGTGAGGGAGAGAAAGGCGTCACGCGAGACAACGTGGGAGGTTCTCGTCTTTCATTTTTTTTTGTTTTATTATTATTTGTTCTGTTTGATTGGATGTTTGTTGTTTTTTGTTTGTTTTGTGCTGTTCTTGTTTTGTTCTTATTGTTGTTCTTGTTGAGTAGTTGTTTGTTTTTTGTTGTTCTTCTTGTATTTGTTGTTTTTGTTGTTTTCCATGTTCTTGTTGTTATTGTTATTGTTAATGTTAATGTTCTTATTCTTGTTATTGTTGTTCTTCTTGTTTTTGTTGTTCTTGTTGTTATTGTTATTAATATTATCGTTGGTGTTGTTGTTGTTGTTGTTGTTGTTGTTGTTGTTGTTGTTGTTGTTGTTGTTGTTGTTGTTGTTGTGTTGTGTTGTTGTTGTTGTTGTTATTGTTGTGCTTTGCTGTTGTTGTTATTGTTGTTGTTTGTTTATCTATTTAATAATCCTCCGTATCTTTCTCTCTGCAGCTCTAAACCTTGCTTATTTACGCCAGGGATTTCTAAAATCCACACGCCATATGAATCTGTCTGGAATTGACTTTCAGAATCGTGAATATCTAAAATACTTTTAACCAGCCGCCCACAACAATTCTAAAATCTGCCTTAAGTAGAGTTACAAAATTATGGGTATCTGAATATTTACAAACAGTTGACCAGAACAATTTGGAAATCCTTTAGAATCTGCCTTAAGTCGAAGAATTTTGGATATGTAAAATCCAAACAGCTGCCACAGTAATTTATTAGATCCTGGAGAACCTGCTTTAAGTAGAAGTACAGAATCATGGGTATGTGAGTATTTATAATAATTTCCCACGGCAGGTTCAAAATCCAAAGAATCTGACTTTACAGAATCATGGGTATGTGAGTATTTATAATAATTTCCCACGGCAGGTTCAAAATCCAAAGAATCTGACTTTACAGAATCATGGGTATGTGAGTATTTATAATAATTTCCCACAGCAGTTTCAAAATCCAAAGAATCTAACACAAATTACAAAATCATGGTTATATGAGTACTTGTAACCTTAGTCTACAGTAGGTACAGAAGTGTGGATATCTGAGTACGTATAAACAGTTGACCACAGCAATTTTGAAACCCATAAGAATCTGATTTAAGTACAGGATTATGGATATCTGTGTACTTATAATAGTTTCCCATAGCAGTTTTAAAATCCAAAAAATCTGACTTTAGTACAGAATCATGGGTATGTGTGTACTTATAACAGATTCCCTCGGCAGTTTTAAAATCCAAAGAATCTGACTTTAAAGTACAGAATCAAGTGTATGTGATTACTTATAATAATTTTCCACAGCAGTTTTGGAATCCAAAGAATCTGACTTAAATTACAGAATCATGGTTACATGAGTACTTGTAACCTTAGTCTACAGTAGGTACAGAAGTGTGGATATCTGAGTACGTATATACAGTTGGCCACAGCAACTTTGAAACCCATAAGAATCTGACTTAAGTACAGGATTATAGATATCTGAGTACTTATGATAATTTTCCACAGCAGTTTTAAAATCCAAAAAAATCTGACTTCAGTACAGAATCATGGGTATGTGAGTCCTTATAACATATTCCCACGGCAGTTTTAAAATCCAAAGAATCTGACTTAAAGTACAGAATCATGGGTATGTGAAGTGTGGATATCTAAGTACGTATAAATAGTTAACCACGGCAATTTTGAAACCCATAAGAATCTGACTTAAAGTACAGAATCATGGGTATGTGATTACTTATAATAATTTTCCACAGCAGTTTTAGAATCCAAAAAATGGTTATATGAGTACCTATAACAATATTCCCACGGCAGCTTCAAAATCCAAAGCATCTGACTTAAAGTACAGAATCTTATAATAATTTCCCAAAGCAGTTTTAGAATCCCCCAAAAAAATCCGACATAAAGCACACCATCATGGTCATACGAGTACTTGTAACGTCAGCCACTGTACGTTCCGAGTTCACGTCCTCAAAGACCTCATTCCACAGAAGCATTAGTTGCATCCCTGACCACTTTGCTCGTGAGGGAGATTAATGAACCCTGATACGTCGATATTAACAATTCTGGAAGATTGATTTGTCCGCTCTATGCTCTCCCAAGAGGTGGGTCCTGGTGGGAGGCTAAAATACCAGAGTGATCTATCTTGTATTAAGAGCAGAGAATGTATTTATTAATGTATATGTGTGTGTGAGAGGGAGGAGGAGGGAGAGGGAGAGGGAGAGGGGAGAGGGAGAGGGAGAGGGAGAGGGAGAGAGAGGGAGGAGGGAGGAGGGAGGAGGGAGGGAGGGAGGGGAGGGAGGGAGGGAGAGGGAGAGAGAGAGAGAGAGAGAGAGAAGAGAGAGAGAGAGAGAGAGAGAGAGAGAGAGAGAGAGAGAGAGAGAGAGAGAGAGAGAGAGAGAGAGAAAGAGAAAGAGAAAAATAGATAAGAAAGGAAGGTGGAGGAGCGGGAGAGAATCAGAAAGGAAGTTATGAATGAATTCTAATTACAAAATGTGTGTGCAAAGAAAGGGAGAAAGACGGGGATGGGGAGCGAGAAAAGAGGATGTGAAGTGAATTATGAAAGAAAACTCAAGTTTACCACAAGCTTCTGAGAGGAAATTAATTTTCTATTTGTAATGCATTGCAATCCGTCAGTAATCAACGAAATATAAGAGAGAGAGAAAAAAAAACGAACTGTATGTTTTTTACATTTCATTTATTCATTATTTTTATTGATCTATATATCTATTTTTGTTTATTCACTTACCTATTTTTTCATGTTTCTTCATTTCTTTATATATAATGCATCATTATAAAGCAAGAAACTCCACTTTGTGTCCCACAGTATTCATGCATAATTGTAGTTTACGAAAATAAAACAAACAAAAAACAAAAAAACACGCACTATATAGCTTTTATTATACTTATCGTTCGGACATCCGTACAACACATTTGCTTATCACTCTCTTTCATTATTCTAAAGGGACGCTATCGTGTTTTCTTATTTTTATTCTTCTCCTTTATTTATTTCTTTCTTCTTTTTTTCGTCGCCATCTTCCTGTTCCTTTTTTCCCTCTTCTTCGTCTTCTTCTTCCACTTCCTTTCATTTTTTTATCGTCTTCTTCCTCTTCTTCGTTTTCTTCTTCTTCTTCTATCGATACTAAAAATGAGCTTAAATGTAAAACGAGAAAAAATGAAAATGGCCAATAAAAATGCCAAGTTTTCAAATTATCTCTACGACTTTTGCCCTTTTCCCAAATTGGCAAAGGGGGAAAGAAAGAGAAGAGAGAGAGAGAGAGAGAGAGAGAGAGGAGAGAGAGAAGAGAGAGAGAGAGAGAGAGGAGAGAGAGAGAGAGAGAGAGAGAGAGAGAAAGAGAAAGAGA